CTAGTGAAGGACGTGGCAGTGCTGGTAGGGGAGCCTCCTGCTGTAACACAGTGAGTGGAGTACCCTCAGGGGGAAGAAGCGGAGAACCGTGCAACCTTGGTGGTGGAGTATTACAAGGAGATCAAGACTTTGGTACGTAATGTGGGTTTCCTTGCCTAAGTCACTATGACCTCTTCAGCACGAGCAGTTGAGCGAAGCGCACGAGAAGGGTAGTGCACTCGCAAGGGCATGGCAGCAGTCGGGGGCCGACCGGCTCGCCGAGGTCAAGAATGTCGCTTCCAAGGCGGCCGCATCGCTTAAGGAGAAGGTGAGCTACCCTTGTGGGAGTATGACCAGCAGTGATGGGTTTAGGACGAGCTCATCGTAGAGATGAAGGAGCTGTACCACAAGCTGGCTGATAAGTACACGCAGTTGGCTGAGAGGCGACAGAGAGAGATCGACGATGGAAAGGTGAGGATATTGCTGATCTCATCCAAGGTATGGATTCCGGGTCATGCTGCCGTTATAGGCTCGATTGGAGAAGGCTAGCGAGGCCAATGAGAAGAAGCTGTCGTCAGTGATAGAAAGAACACAGGCAATCTTGAAGTCGGTTGAGGATGATAACGCTGCAGCGACCAGCCGCACTGAGGTAGGCTCCTTCCTGTTCTGTAGTGGTCATGTCTATGACGTCAGGCGTACATCAACTCCATCCTGGCTTTGAACGATCGTCTCATGGCGACTCTGAAGAGCTCTTCCAAGCAGTCAGAGGTGACGAGTCCCTCCTGCGGAGTGATGATAGGATTGTATTCCGCTCAGGGAGAGATGGCCAAGATAGTCACCATGCTACAGACCGAACGGAGGAAGAGACGCAGTGCTGAGGAGGCGCTGGAGAAGGTGGGGATGACATTAGATGAGCTCTCATTGATAGCATGTGGATGGCAGGTGTCATCCGAATCAGCTGGGCAGGAGCCATCAGCAGCTGCTAGTCGTAGGCTGGCTGTTCATCTGGCTCGTCACGTTCAGGATCTCACTGCAGTAGGCATTGCCTTCACAGTTGCTGTTATGTTCAGTGTTGGAATATGTGTTTGCTATCCCCAGCAGCTGAGCTCTTCATTTTCCTCGCTTGTTATAGAACTTTACGTACAAACTCGGGTAGAAGTGTTCAGGAGCGAACACTAATTTCTTTTCAAAATTTCCT